TGGGACCCTAGTAAAAATTAGAAATTCTGCTGTTCCTAAAGGATCATAAAAAATAAATAAAAATGATTCCAAGTACCCCTAAGATGGACCCAATCCCCAAACGGGCGTTCCCTGGGCGCAGCACCCAGGCTTGAGTTGGCCCAGGCATAGGGGTTGGTTCCGATCCAATCAGTGGATTGCAATCCAACCGTGCCGCCTGGGAGTTTTGTTTTAAGGCTTAGTTCTTCCAGTTGTTGGGGGCATATTCAAGCCCTCTGTTATGGTTGATAACATCAAAGTGTCTAGATTAGGCTATCTGGGTACACCTGTGGGCCACTAATTGCTGGAGAACACTGCCTTTCTCACGAGAAGCTTAGTCCATCCATTGAAGCTGGGGCATGCCAGCGCTATAGGGGTGCTGGTGTACATGGGGCTTTGCTTTTACAGGCTAGATGGGCTGCATTGCATGGCCGGGACACGAAGCGGTGGACAACCTTCCCAGAGCTTCTGAACGTTAACTTCTGAACGTTAGGGGCTTGTCCTTGAGCACCCTAAAAAATGGGTGGTCTCCTCAGACGAACCAAAGAAACCCTTTTGGATTCCCATATGAGCCACAGCCTAAACTCCTAGTATCCCCCTTAATAGCCCCTATAATACTCCTCTATATAACCCCCTATATAACCCCCCCTTAAAGGAGTTAAGACTATAGCCATATCGCAAGCTTCTGAATGGCAGCCCTGGCTCAGTCGTCAGTGCTCTGCAATCGCCGAGCGCCGCCCAAAGCCGATGCGGGTACTGAGACGCTGTGAGCGCTCACACCATTCCTGCAGCTTCAAGCTTCCAGATTATGGAGAGGTTAGATAGGGGTAGTGGAAAAGAAAATGGAAACTGCTATTTAGGGTTTTTTAGTATATCGTCCCCCTTAAGTAGATAGAATATGGGGTTTTATAGGGATTATAGTGGGACAATGGAAAAGAAAATGGAAACTACTATTTAGGGTTTAGGGTGTAGGGTTGAGGGACCCATGATTAATAAACCCCCTCGTTTCTTAGGGCCTAAATAATAGGATCCCCATGATAATCCCCATGAAGGGGAAGGGGTTTATTAATCAGGGGTCTGGGTCATTGAGTATTGTAGTAGTTTTGTAGCATGATCCTGCTTCTTCCCTATGAGGCCCAAAACAGACTACTCAGTTCTCTGCCCCCTGCCCTTCTTTGAAGCATGAAAAAGATTACGGCAAGGTATGCCAGTAGTAACTCCAAAACCCTAAAAGCTAGAGGTTCTCGGCAGTTCAGCCTCGGTCTCACGGACTTGCAGATTTGTACGGTGCAGGTGTTCAGGTCGAGCATTTTCAGTGTAGAACTCATGCAACTCTAAGAGCAAGTTTGTGTCAACTGTCTGGAGAATCTCCGAGCTGCTCCCTGTTCTATTGTTCAAAAGTGTGGGGGCCACTGTGGTAAGACATCCAAGCAGATCGCAGGGCAGGTCAACATGCTGTTTGAAACTGCGAAAGGCGCGAAGGTGCGTGGAATTCGTTGGAAGCCCCGGAAGAAGCAGTTGTCCAGCAACTTGAACCCTGCAATCTCTCTGGGCCTTATGGAGCCTGCCCCCATACTCCGAAACCCAAACCAGTACTGCCTACTGTCTAGATTCCCCAACCCTCAGTCTCAGAAAGCTTTTCCTGACGTGGCACCACCCAACGCTCAAACTTGATCCGGGTCTCCTTTGGACGTCTTCGGTCGTTTGCTTCTGCACCACGACTTGAGATCCCTTTCCGTCAGCGCCGACGGATGTCAGGACCTCAGGGCTTATTCTCAAAAGGGATCTTGACATCTGGGCCTTTCAAAGAAGAACTGACTAACCGGAAGCCAGAAACCTAATAGTTCCTCTTGTACTTGTACTTGCACAAACAGGACATCTTTCCAGCCTCCACAGAGCCGCATCCCATCCCCATGTCAAAGACACAAACAAAAAGGGTGTGCCAACATTCTAGTCTGGACGTTCTGGGCTTCGTCACACCTGTCCAAAGCCAAAGCCATGAAACAACCCTACACGCCGTAAATACGTGCAAGAACTCCTTTGCAAGGTGTTGACCTGACAGAAAACCAAGTATAACTCGTATACAATACCACGAGCGATGCTCGTCAAACCCGACAAGGAGTTAACAATCCTGACGCCCGACACGGGCTTTACTGAAGAATCAGGTCCCAGCATGCAGGAGGACACGCTTCATGTACTCAGGGCAAACCAATCCCACTAAAGATCTCTTAAACCTAATCCCTAAATCCTAAAGCCTAACCCTATACCTATTATACCTTTTCCATCTGGGCTCCATGGGCTACCCTAATATCTAAACCCTAACTTCAAAACCCAAAGCCAGGTGCCCGCCTCTGTAGCATTGACCTTGATGGAATTCATCACAGACTGGCCGAGTTTCGAAGTGAGGCCGATAAGCTTGTCCTGGGCTTAGGCTTAGGGTTCAAGGCTTAGGAGGCTTCGGAGGGTTTAGGAGGGTTTAAGGTTAAACTGGCTCGAAGGGGTTCAGGGTTTAGCGTTCAGGGTTTAGAGTCCCCCGCTGAAGTAGATAGAACATGACTTTCCCAGGAGATCTTATTGTGATTTTGGGGAATTTCATATTCTACCTGCTCAAGGGAGGATTATAGGGTTTAGGGTATGGGTTTGTACTGGGGCTTTTCAATCACCATACCAGCATTATGTGGAGAGCTCCTTGGAGTTTGTATAAGGTCTTTCCTTCAAGCCATGGTCCTGCTTGCGGAATTCGGACTACCATCGGCCGTGTTAATCCTGTTACCATGGGAGACTCCAAACGGCTTTCGGAATGTACATGGATTCTTCTGGTGAGTTCTCAACACTAATTAGGATTCTTCTGGCAGGTGTTCAATCAACACTAGGCATACGTTGGGCTGGGGCTTTAAATGTGTTTGCATGAGGATCAGCTGGCTGGGCACATTTCTGCGTGAAAGTGCACCCCTGCACCCAAGGCTGCTATTCTTCTCAACGGCCAGTTATAGAATGGGAGTGTGACTACCCAGTGGCGCCAAGTATCTCGATTTTGTGCCGACTTCTGGCCGCATGGCCGCATGCATTACTATCAACCGATTCAGTCACAAGATAACCCATAGATGCTGCGCAAACACCTTGGCTTCTGCTCCTGCTTCATGACCGCATACAATACTCATCGGTTCCTCTGCAAAATATGATGCGACACTTACCCCTGCCCTCACCGCTCGAAACACACACACTTCAACTGGATATTCAAGGAAAGCTGAGATGGGGCAAGAGTAGGATGATTTTAGCTATGATCGTTTGCTGTTCCTCACTGAGGGTAATTCATTGCGACTCATATCCCTACTTGTAAATCCTATGTAGCTGTTTATCCATCTTAGTCCTGCCAAATCCTAAACCTAAACCGTAGACCCGCACTCCAAAGCCTTTCTGAGGCCCCTGCTGTGGTTGAGGCTTGCTGGGCGGCGCTTACCTTGGCTAAATTAGGGTTTAGGGTCTAAAGCTTAAACATCAAAGGAATGACTCGGGGTAGGGCTTGGGGATTTATGGCGCCTCATCATGGATGCCCCTAGGCAGGTCCCAACCAAAAAACGGCTTCCCCGTGTTAACCTCATCCACCCCACCCACACACCCCCAAAAACGGATGGCTTGCACTGCCCCCTAACTACATGCATACCCTCGTTGTCCACATACACCCTCGAAATTTCCTAAGTGAACCCTTGACCCCTAAACCCCACACCGGGTTCATCCATCAACAACCAGAGGAGTTGCCGAAACAAGACGAACAAGAAAATCCCCTATATGACCCAGCCCCAAACCCCAAAATCCCTCAAGAATTTCAAAAACAGGGAAGGTGCAGTGTCGGAGGCTGCGGAGCTACCAGAGACCATGGCGGCCACACTCCCCAGCAGTGAGTCACCGGCTTCTTTGCTCATGGCCTTTTTCAGGGTTCAGGGTTGACCTCCCCCAGTATTGCAGATTCAGAGTGCAGGGGTTGAGGAGCTGGGATTTGCCGATGCACGTGTTTTTTGTTTTTGTCGGTCCTTTTTCGAGCTTGCTGGAGGGTGACTGGGGATTCAAGAAGTAGGGGTCTGGGGGGCTTAGGGCTTAGGATTAAGATCCAAATTACAAGGTCTTGATGGCGGTGGTGGTGGTGCAGCGGCAGCGAGGGCGGAAGCGGTGGTGTGGGTGGGGGCGGCTGCTGCTGCTCAGCGCTGGTTGCGCCATGCTTCATGCATGCAAGGTTGGAAACGAAGATCTAGTTGTCTTGAAGGTCCTGCGTGGCGAGCATTGTGATAAGCAATCGAGCAGTGTAGCTAACGGGCGCACCTTGAGAAATGAAGTGTGCTTAGGAAAGTCTTAACTCAAAAGCAACAAATGCTACACACGTGGCTTCCAACCCCAAAAGGCCCGCAATACAAGCGAAACTCACGCAAGAGAAAGCACCATGGACATTAAACATGATCTGCATTCGAATGCCTGTCATGAGAATGCAGGCCCGATGATAGCGTGTTTGACCAGAAAATAGCATTGAGATGTGGGATCGCAATCATCTCGGACTGTAGACCATGAACGACTCCGACTCCCAAGCCCCACGCAACAAGCTTGACCATGAAGAAGCCTGCGTATCCGGACCATGTCATGGGCGAGTTCTCGGATGCAAGATAGTTCATCCCAATTAATCAAAGTCTTAGTTAACCAGACCAGGCGCCCCTGGAGTCAAGGCCGTGTTTAGCACCGTGTCCAAGACCTCTGCTGCTTTCTCGATGATGGCCCTTAGCTCGACAGGAGTGTGGGCGGGTGGGGGAGCTCGGGGCTTTTGGCTTCATGAAATTTGGTCCCTCTTCGGACCCTGCAAACCTCATCCGTGAACCCTCACTGAGATGTAGCGTTCATAGAGATTGGGATGTTGACGAACATGTGGTCCCTATTCTATACCCCCCCCCGTGGAACCTGGGCAGGGATCCCAGTACGTTCCTTTCTCGCAGGGGCACGGATCAGCGGTTGTAGATCCCTTGGACAACGTGTTCGCCATGATGTCGCCCACCTGCCCGAAAGCAAAACAAAGGAGTGTTGGTGCCACAGGGCGTTCGCAACATTCTGGCCTCTGTTAGTGATGCTGACAGCCAAGACCATACTGGTTGGGTGCATGCGAGGGGTCCGTTTGGAGAAGCCCCTCGTATCATAGGCCTGGTAACATCTCATCTGCGGAATGAGAAGAGGCTTGGAAGAATTCCATATTCACTAGTGTTATGAAGAAATCTGTTTTGCGCCTTTTTGCATCCGACCTTCAACAATTCCCCTGAAAAGCCTATGTGCGCCCATCTCAAGTATTCTGCTAGACCTTGGAAATGCTTGGAAAGTCTGCCGGGCCTTCTTGAGGCCAGTGCTCTCAGCAGACGTGATGTCGGCCGCAAGCTGCAGGGCATCAAGCTCAGCATTTACCACCTTGGTGTAGAATGCCGGACTTCACGCTCTAAAGTCTTGCGGGTTGTAGAGGTACTATAGGTGTGAACTACGTGAGGCTGAGGGAGTCAGGGTTACCACCTTGGTGTAGAATGCCGGACTTCACGCTCTAAAGTCTTGCGGGTTGTAGAGGTACTATAGGTGTGCACTACGTGAGGCTGAGGGAGTCAGGGCTCAAGGGCTCAGAACACCCCACCCCAAAGCCTGTGTAATTATGGAGGCCTTTTAGGACATGTCGTCATTGGAGTTGCAGGTGCAGAAACATGTGATCAACTGGGCTCCAATAATGTCGGCACTAAAGGTGGGACTGCATGGCCCATTTTTGCCCACAAGAATTCTAGGGATTCCGAAGTTAGGAATCCATTTTTTAGGTTCTCATATGAAGGACGATAACATGGTGGGGTATATAGTTTCCGGGAGGTTGCCTGTGCGCAAAGCATCTTTAGACCCATAATAAAGCTTAGCCAAGGGGCATGGGTTCAGCATTGATACACTCCCCCAAACTAACATGGAAACCCATATAGCCCCCTGTTAGAGGGACTGTAGTCTTTGTAGGGCCCTTTTGGGTTTCCATGTTAGTTCCCAGGAGTGTACGGTGAATTCAGCAAGTCCTGAACCACTCCTATGCCAGCCAAAAAGGTCACCGACCGTAGACATCCGTCCTTATCCCCGAACACTATCACAAGCACCTAGGACAAAACCCTCAAGCACTAATATGTGATGGGGAACCCAAAAAATTAGGCATCACACCCCGTTGCAGCAGATATATACCCAATAGAACCCTAATATAGCGCCTATATAACCCTAGTATACCCTAATATATCCCTAATAGAACCCCAAAATAACCCCTAGATAGCCCCAGCATAACCCCGATGTAATACTAATATGACCATTCGCCTAATCATCAAACCCGAAACCGTAAATAGTAGTTTCGAGTTTTCTTTTCCATTACCACTAAAAAACAATTCCCCTATACTAATCATGGGCCGACCCTCTACCCTAAACCCTAAGCAGAATTCTCCTAGTCCTTGGGCCGAAGATCTGCTTTCTTCGTCTCCTCATCGCCAGCGATGGTTACCGAGCTCACGGCAGCCACAGCATTCAGGATGCTATCAGCCTGGGCGAACTACACAGGGTTTAGGGATTAGGGTTTAGGGTCTCGGGTTGGCCAAGCTACATGGGGGCTTCCCAAAATTAATGTTAGCTCCCGATTAGTGT